ACCTCTGCCGAGTACGGCGGGGGCAAAAAACGTCCCCACAGCGCCCGGCTAGCTCAGTCGGTAGAGCATGGGACTCTTAATCCCAGGGTCGTGGGTTCGAGCCCCACGTTGGGCGCATCGGCTTTTGTGCCTCGCTCCCCTTTTGGGGGGGGCTCTTGGGCGGGAAAGGCGCCGCCTCAGGCCCGTCCACCTCCGCGACTCCGAGGGGAATTCCGGGACCAGAGGGACTTCCCGAAGGAAACGTCTCCGGTGGGGCTGCGGCGCGGGGAGCTCTGGCGGTGGCTGTGCTAAACCGGGGAGCTCTGGCGGTGGCTGTGCTAAACCGGGGAGCTCTGGCGGTGGCTGTGCTAAACGCGGCCTTGCAGCAAAGCAAAAAAGCCTTTAGAAACGATGTGGGTGCAGGAGTGGAACGTGCGTGCGCTGACGAACCAGGAGGAGCTGCGGCCTCCCTCGAGGGTGGAGGGGCCTTACGCGGAGACCGGGGCAGGCGAGAGAGCTGGGCAGTCACCGGCCCTGTGAAATTTAACAAGAGCAAGTGCCGGACGCTCCGCCTGGGACGGGGTAATCCTGGTTACGCGTCCAAACCGGGGAGGAGAGGCTGGGGAGCAGCCCCGCGGAAAGAGATCTGGGGGTTCGGGTGGATGGCACGTTGAATACGAGCCAACAGTGCGCCCTGGCAGCCCAACAGGCCGGCCGTGCCCACAGCATGGCTAGCCGGTCGAGGGAGGCGAGGCCGCACCGCTGCGGCCCCACCTCGAGTGCTGTGTGCAGGTCTGGGCGCCTCAATGTAAGAAGGACATCAAACTATCAGAGCGTGTCCAGAGGAGGGTGACCAAGATGGTGGAAGGCCTCGAGGGGCAAGACTTAGGAGGAGGGGCTGAGGTCACTTGGCTTGTACAGCGTGGAGAAGAGAAGGCTGAGGGGTGACCTCATCACTGAGGGGTGACCTCATCACTGAGGGGTGACCTCATTGCAGTCTGCAGCTTCCTCAAGGGGGGCAGCAAAGGGGGAGGTGCTCATCTCCTCTCTGTGGTGACCAGGTCCTGGTCCACGAGGAAATGGAATGAAGCTGTGCCAGGGGAAGTTCAGGTTGGACGTTAGGAAAAGGTCCACCCCTAAGAGGGTGGTCGGTCACTGGAACAGGCTCCCCAGGGAAGCGGTCACGGCACCAAGGCTGTCAGAGCTCAAGGAGCATCTGGACGATGCTCTTAGTCGTATGGTTTAGTCCTAGGTAGTCCTGCGAGGAGCAGGGAGTTGGGACTTGACGATCCTTACGGGTCCCTTCCAACCTGAGATATTCTATGATTCTATGAAAAGGGAGATGAGGGGAATGAGTTAAAGCCCCCTTCCCCAGAGACCAGCTCCCACGGACACAGCACAGACACCGGGCAGACTGCAACGGGCCCTGCCCGTGAATATTTCAAAATATTCCTCCTCCCAGCAGGACTCAGCTTGGCTGGAGCCGTTCGCTGGGCTAACACCAACCTTCAGGAATGGCATCCAGTCCAGAATCAGGAACTTCAAAGGAAAAACCTCCAGTTACTGCAGGGCTTTGCGTCTGTCACTGTCCTTCCTGACAAAACATTTGAGTTCACTGTGAATTTGTCTGCTGTGAGGATCCACGGATCCCTGCCACGCCAGGGAGGGAAGAACTACAACATTTAGGCCGGGGGAAAAAAAAAAAGCCAAATCCCTTTCTACACGGTAACACATTTCAGATGTGACCTCTAAGGGATTTCCAGGGTTAGCCATCCAGAAAAGCAGAAAATAGCCTTTTCTCACCCCTTCAATGAAATAAGAATCCTGTTTCTGTCTGTAACGGGTCATGGGACTCTGCGCTTAAACCTGCCAGTAACACAGGAGTTAGGATTCCTGGCCGTGCAGTGTGAAACAGCAGCTGTTGAATGATGCAGAAACCCCACAGGAACAGAGAAGAGCGGACAGAACGAAGATGAGGCGGCAGAACACGCCGGGCTTGCGAAAGGTCCCAGAGTACGAGCGCACAGCGGTACCGAAATACCCCTGAAAAGGGAAGGGCTAAGAATATTCTGAATTTCCTCCGCTGCAGCCTGCTGCAGTTCAGGAAAATGACATCATTGCACCACCACGAACACAGGCTCTGTAGGAGTTTAATCTCCCCTGCGTATCCTTCCCGCTGAGAACTACTTACGGACATGAGTAATCCCTCCCAGCTCCGTGGGACTCGTGCCGATGGCAAACTCTTCTCTCAGGAGCAAGCCTCGGTAGGCTCTGGCTCAGTTCTTACTGAGGCAAGACACAATCTGGGCCACGGAGCTGCATCCCAATTATTCAAATTATAAATGGAAATGAGCAGCAGAGCTTGGGTCTGAACGTTCTTTACCCAGGCGTAAGGATGGCTCTCTGCGCCTTACGAGGAAATAGCCTCTATTTTATCAAGCCTGTAAATCGCGTCACAGATTGTTAAGAACAATTTGTAAGTTAAGAACAGGGATGAAGCAGGCTGGTGTCCAAAAACTGCATGTTTATCCATTTTGCTTTATTAAGCATAACTGTTCCAATCATGTATACTTTCTGAAGTCACTCAGAAACCTACTGATAGCCCAAATCCTTGCCAAAGACTGCTCCAGCCGAGTCAACCTCATGCACTAAGTATTAGACTCCACTGCTCCTCCCCTGTTCAGCCCCCTAAGGAGAACCAGACCTCACCCGCAGGTTTATCTCGCCAGCGTCAGCTGGATCCTCAAGTCTCCCGCCCGGCCCTGTGGGGGTTATGCCTTGGGAGAAAGGCCACGGCGGGGCAGCGCAGCTGAGCAGCGCACCGCGTAGCAGGGCCCTGTCGGAGGGGACGCTCTCGACTTGCACGCAACCCCGTAGTCCTCGGTCTCGCTGCAGGGGAGATACAACCGAGTTGGTAAGGGGGAACAAGCGCAGTCAGAGCAAAGGTCCGGAACACTCGAGAAAACAAGGGGAATGCTGGTATTTGAGGAATCTGCTGGGGAACGACCATCCCAAAGGAAATGAAACCATTAATCGTAGGCTTACAGAAGCAGTCAAGCAAGGGAAGAACCCTAAGATGTAAAAGAATGCGAAATACCAGACACGATGGGAGCAGAGGTATCTACCTACAGCGTTTAATCCATTTTTCCAAGTTCAGGCCTGACAGACAGAGCACAACGCAGGACATTTTGAAGAACCCGTTCCTGTGTCGCGGCATGCCATTCTCATCCTCAGGCTGCCACAGAAAAGCTCCTGCGCATGGGTAATTGCAACTTGTTTGACCTGGAAACCCAGCAAGCGTTTGGACTGGAGACTCTCACATCAGCGCAGAGAGGCACTGGCCAGGCCCCATCGTGCTTTGAGGACTAAGAAATGATCTCTAAAAGACCAACCTCACCCCAGGACTATAAAACAACCACTAACAAGCACTCGCAACCATGCTGTCTGGGTAACGGCCACACAGCTCATCTGAAGTAGGAAAAAGGCAATTTAAAAATACACCCGCCAGCACCTCTGGAGAGAAATCATCCAGGCTAATACTGTCAGATCTCTCTTACCAACCAGCAAAGTCTCGCCTACGACAGGCTAACACTTTAAGCAGCGTCCCTGGTTTTTTGGGTTTGGTTTTTTTTTAATTTGAAAACCATTAAAATAAGAAGGAGCATGTCCTACCATGTGCCAACTAACACCATATGTTAAGGTAAAGCATGTACGAAACGGAATGACAAAATCGTGCAGAAGCTTACTTAACACAGGGCAGCATGCTATGGCAGTTAAGTTTCACCACAAGAACGTTTCTTTAAATATATGCTTAACTTCAAGAAACGTGCTTCAGGAACCACAGCAGGTAGCTAGCAGACAGCATGGGAAATCAGTGACAAAAAGCATGTTTGTGGCAATAAAAGATTCCACCACCCCCAATAACTTTATGAACACGTATCTCCCCAAATCTGAGATAAACAATTACTCCTCAGAGTAGGATTTAAACCTCAGTAATCAACAGATACCAGCAGGGTCACCATTTAGTCAGCGAGTCGAATTCAGCATGCTGCCTGCAAGTTTAGTGGTATTTGAGGCCAGGGGAAACCCCTCTCCCAAGGCACGATGCTGCTGAGGTGCACTGGCACTGCCTGGAGTGCCAACTGGGAGCCACAGCTCTGCGTGAAAGTTAATTCACAGCAGTATTATGGAAGGATGGTGAGAATCGTGACAAACTACAACCAGCAGCACTAGCAGCAGAATGGAAACGTACGTGTTTGTTTTCCCACAGGAGCGCTCCTTCTCCTTCAATACGTAAAGTTACAGCATTGCTGTAAGAGCCTATTAATTTGCCAACAGTTCCTAAATACCATGTTAATATCCAAATGTACTTTTTTTTTTCCCTTAAGCAATGAACTGTGTATTGTATTTTCATTTAATCCACATTGCTGCGGGACAACAAAGTTTAATATTTCTGATGGTGGGAAGGAGGGCAAAGAAGTGACTTCTGAGGTTGACATTTCAATAAGAGACTCAAGATTTCCCCACACTCATTTATCATTCTTACACAGTCGAATTCTTTCTCGAAGGAGAGATGCTGGGAGAGTTGTTAGCTCAGCACTATTTGAGAATTACAGGCAGAAGAGTTCTCTGCCAAAACTCTCAAAAAACAGGACTGTGTCCAGGGGAAATACTGCTCCAGCACCTTTGCTAAACAGCCCCAAATCGTTTCCTCACATGTGATTCAGGGGTGGAATATTTTAATACAGAATTTGGCAGAAAAGCTTCCATGGATGTTTCCCACAGTAGACTGTCCTTCATTCTTCTAAGCATATTTAAAAGCAAAATATCTTAAAACAAATTCTCTCAACAATGTCATTTACTATACAGATAAATAACAAACAACTCAGTAGGCTACAACTCATGATGGTATAGAATTTCTTCGGAAGAGGACGAAATAGCACAGTAGCTGCCAGAGTTAAGTTTTTAAACTACAACTGATTTTAAATAGTGTTAGTACCTACCGCCATACTCCCCCAAAACATCCACATTGTTCATATTTAACAGCGTTACACACCAATTACTTCATACAAAAAAAAAAAGCCAATGCATATATATCTACTTGAAATAGACGAGGAGAATCCTTGCGTAGCATTTAGGTGCTTATTTCTCAGTAGAAAAAGCCCTCTTCATCAACGGTGGGGGTGCTTTTCCAACATCAAACATCATTTCCAGTGGAGGATTATTAAGACAGCACCAGTCAGGTATGCGGCCTGTCTGGCTGTAATATTCTTTGGACACAGACCGGCTCCCAAGTATGTCCTGAAGTGCTCCAAAAATGGCTCCTACATTATTGGGGGGGGGAAAAAAACGTTGCATTAATTTGATGCACTGAATTTCTTTTTCTGCTTCTTCCCATTAAGAATCTCCACTATTCTGTTTCACAGCTCTGTCCCAAAAATTAAAGGAATGAAAGGATCTAGCCGCTTTCCTTTTCAGTAGCCCCGCTAGTCCCAAACTGCTTCCATTTATGTCCCTTGAAAGTAACTGAAAGCAAAGAATCATCTAGTCTCTGCTGACAGCAAAACTGGCCTAGCTGACCTGCTTCTTACAACAAAGTTCCCTAGAAGTTTTGATTTTAAGCACTTTAAGCAAACCACCTTGCGTTTAAGGAAATTTCCTCTCCCCAAAAACGGTGTCACACAATACCCGTAAGAAGTTTACGCAAGCTGCGAGAAGATTCAGACCACAGCAGCTGACCAGCACTGCCAGTGAAGAAAGGTATCAGAGAACTTGGTGCATATAAATCAGTCTTGTTTGCTAATCCTAACAGTAGACTCAAAAGGTTTGAAAACTAGAATTTGATAAACATTTACATTTCAAAGCACATGGAAATAAAAATCTACCTTTACAGTTAAAGTTAGTTCCTCGTACATACCAGATGGGCTCAGCTTATATACCGAAAGCTTACAAAAGCATGAATTCTTATCAACCTGAGCACCTTCCTGAAAAGAGCTGCTAGCAATGGGAAGTCCTTCTTTTTCCCTCACTTGCCAGTGCAGCATCCAAAATCCATCACAGAGCTGCTTTATTTGTTATTGGCAGTTGGGAACAGCACGGGGACTTAGCAGCCTCCGGCCTCTCCATAGCTCACAGCTCCTCAGTCAGTAATTAAACTTGTTTTTTCAATAAGCAGATCTTCCTACACGCAGCAGGCCTCCGCTCTGCCTGCTCGCTTTACTGGTGCCACCATATGGCAGGAGCCCTGTACTGCACTTGAGTCCACGCCTCATCTTCCACAGCGCGGTTTCAAATTGCCCGTCACCCGTTTAAAGCTCCATCACCTGCAGCGCCACTCTGCCCTCCAGATGTCCCTGAGGGAGCTTTACTCCACAAGATTTCTTCCAGGAGGGCATAACAATTCCACGGAGCTCCAATGCAGCTTAATCTCAATAGTTTGCCTAATTTTTACTGCTATTTATTCATTACAAATCCCACGTGGAAGGTTTGTTTTTCCACTTTGTACCTTTGCTTAACGGTTGTTTTCAGTCTTACCTCCCAGCCAGGCCACACAGTTGGGTTTGGCAGGTGGAGTGTGAATTCTGAAGGTTTTAGTGGCAAGTGCTTCTTTGTATTTCGGTTTCTCTACCAGGTATCTGATTTCGGCCATGAGCCTGTGAAGGAATCCCGGCAACATAGCGGTGCCACCAATAACTACCAAGTTCTCTGCCAACTGCTTCCTGGTGTCTATGGGACACTAATGCAACAGGAATAAAAAAAACACTTTAGTTAAAGTGACATGTACAAGCATTCAAAGGTCCTTCTACGCGCTTCAATTGCCGTTTTCTCATAATTAGCCGAAACATAACCTACATCATTTTTTATCCAGACTTCCCAAGAAAACCAGGCTTAAGGAACTGCCCAGTTGAGGCTTGAGGAGCACACTGTGTCCCTGTAAAGCCCTTCAGCTGAGACAGGCCAAGACAACAGAGGACGGAGGTATCGGTGACAGTAATTCCCATGAGTTCTGGGAGAAGATGTGCCGGAGAGAGGTGAAGCCTCAACCAGTGCTATCGGAGAGGGAAAACTGTTACACGAGACTGATGCTTTTTAGCTCCATGTGGGAGAAAGGTGCTACCAAAGTCTCAGCGGCTGAAAAAGGTTTCTGCTGGAGCTCGCCTCAGGCATCAGATAATCCAACCAGAAGAGACACAGGCATGAGAAGACCAAGCTTTGTCAGCTCTGCCCCTCACAAACAGATCTGCGCTATCCCTTTGAGAAAAATTCCAGACTGCTGTGGTCCTCTTGTCCAGCGGAAGTAACTGGACGCTCCTTAACACTTGTAAATTTGACATTTGTCTTTCCTTTGGCCAGAGAGTGATGCAAGGTAAATGCCTAGAGGTAGAGAGGTGAGGGGTCCAGGCACAGATCTTGTTAAACAATTTGTTTTCATAAGGAATTCTAATTGAAATGTTTGTCATGTCATCCAAGCCTATGGCTCTCCAATAAATTACGTCTCAGCAAACTAATTTAAAAGGCATCAATAACTACAGGAAGTCAACTTTAATTAACATACATATACCACCATATAATGAAAATTTCCATTTATAGTGGTTTTCTAATCATTTTTTTCCTAAATATAATAAGAAATGAAGCGTTTGTATATGCCAAGAAAATTTTCCGTAATGTATCTAATATACTGCCTGTAATAGAGATGCCCAGATTAGTTTTATTCTACCTTAGGTCAACCAGCAGTCTGCAGGACTCAAAGTCTAACTCTTAGCAAAACACCTTGAAAAAAGAAGAAACGGAATGCCTGTGCCATTTCAGTGTAAGCAGTGTAATTCCTATAACACCAAGTATTAGCTACTCCTTCATCATTACATCTATAGAGCCTCACTCCCAAATAAACGCAAGGTAGTTTATTACTTTTGCTGAGGAGTGAGCACTGCCTTTCTTAGAAAACTGTCCTAGACACGTCGCAGTACACCAGAGAGTAAGAAAACCATCACGGAGCGGATGACACATGGTGACTTACTACCCCACAGAAATGCATCACGTGGCAGAACCCTAGCAGTCATGCTGTGCTAAACTTTTTCAACCAATCGCAACCTGCAGGCAGAAGGGTGTTACTCTAGAAAGAGTCATTTATTACAGCAGGTTTCCTGAGGCTGGAGGCGTCCAATAAATCGTTTATAATATAAAGATACCTGAACGAGCGAATCTAAGATCAAAGTGGCAACAGACGTCTCTTCATTATCCTGTTCAAACAATATTTCGACAACGGAGTCTCTGTTGAAAAGACAGGAAATGAGTGTTAATGAGAAGCAATACCACACTATGAGCTAACACTCAGGAACAGCAGGGCTGGAAATAACTACAGACTACTTCTGTCATACATCCACGCACCAGGCGGTGCCAACGGGGAGGAGACAATGCCTCGCTGGCTTCACTAAACCTGTCTCATCATCATGCATTAATACTCCGTTTCTGTTTCCCCCATCCCTCCAATCTGTTTGCTTTCATCTTCAACTGTGAGCTCTCTGGAGAAGCCGACACCTCTTATTATGGGCTTGCACTGTGCCCAGCACAAAGCCTTAAATTAAGAGACATTAAAAGCATTAAAACTCAATTTTATGAAAATTTTTGTGCGTTTAGAGTTGAAAATATATCCTCCTAAAGATAAATACTCTGCTACGGTATTTCTCACCTGATGGGGCCAACGACATGGAGAATCTTTTCTCCATCTAAAGGATAGTCCACGTCTGGAGGCGGTGAAGGACGCTAGAAATAAAAACATACGTGCATTATTTTAGAGGCCAAAAAGGCTACATCCACTTCAAAAGACTAGGATAAGCTTCATTCTCCACCCACCTCAGCACTGCCATCAATGTTGAACTTGGCTGCTTGGATTTTCAGTCCACGTTGGAGATCACTCACAAAACAAGTGCGGACTCCATAAAAGAAAAGAAAGGGGCAGAAAAGAGACTTTGTTGGATCCTTTCATCACCAATCAAGACAATAATTTTGCTTACTTTAAAGAAGAACACAACCTTCAGGCCTTTGCTGGTCCAAGACATTATCAAATAAATGCAAAGAAAAACGGTCTCTACGCTTCGGCAGAGTTCCGATGCTACCTAGACCATGAGTTTAAACGAAGCTGACACCGAAACTATGCTAGGACAGGCAAGATTTCCTTCTCAGACAAGCTACGTAAGATTTAAAGACAGAGGGACATTACTAACCATGCCTTCGGTTACCACAAGGTGCCAGGGGTTGTAGTCTGCTGTCAAACACACCATCGAGGGTCTTGCACCATAGCTTCAAATAGGACATTGCTCATTTTCTAAACAAGCTGTAATCATGCAATATTTTTCCTAGTACAACTCTTCAGCACCCTAAGAATTCCAGAGGTTGGTTTTTTTCTCCAGGCAACACTGACAGAGCACAATTGCATTTGTATCCCAGATGTTAGTGATATTATATACTTATTTATATCTGGCACAAATGAGTATCTTCTTCATAAATGTCTGTTACAAAGAAATAACCCTTCAATACACAGGCAATCACTTTCAACCCTAGCATATTATATCTGGTTCCAAAAGACTGAATAAAAACCAGGACTGGTCAGAAAACTGTGTTCAAGCCCAGGAATTAGAAAAACAACTTCCATTTGACAAAGCACCAGCTCCATTTAAGTTATTTTGCATTTGGCTGATGGATTTCTTCCTAATTTGGCCCAAGAGATATATACTAGTTTCTACTTTCTATGATTATATATATTTTTATATCTGTTGCACATGAAACATCACATAGGAATTGATCCAAGTTCTGCCCAAAGATAGACTCTCTTTTTTCTGGTGTAAATGTAGTCCTTGACTCATCTTGCCTACCTGATTAACACGCCAAAATGTCTTTTACACATACTTTATTTTTTCTGCAAAATTGACTTTAAGGCAACTTGAGCCTTCCTAGTCAATTTATAAACAAAATTAACTTAAAATATTCTTATGCCATGATGTTAAGACTG